GTGACAACATTTTTTTATTTGACTTTAACTAATTGCAGCATTACCACAAAAATGGAAGTGGCAAGTGGAAGGGGGAAAAAGTAATTAACTTGTCTGTCGGCCCTGCATTAAAGACCAAAATTGGTTAAAGAACATTGTGATAAATAAAAAAGTATACCAGTTTCATTTAAGGACCAAAAAATTGACAGTTGTGCCATATAGATTGCAAAATAGTTGGGAAGAGATTTTCGATGTACCGATTCCATGGCACATGGTTTATGAACTGATTCACAAAACGATGCTGGATTGAGAATTGATAATTTTTCAATTTAAATGATAATACAAAATTCTTGCAACCAATAGAATGTTTATATATATATATATATATATATATATATATATATATATATATATATATATATATATATATATATATATATATATATACACACACACACACACACACACATACATACATACAGTGGGGAGAACAAGTATTTGATACACTGCCGATTTTGCAGGTTTTCCTACTTACAAAGCATGTAGAGGTCTGTAATTTTTATCATAGGTACACTTCAACTGTGAGAGACGGAATCTAAAACAAAAATCCAGAAAATCACATTGTATGATTTTTAAGTAATTAATTTGCATTTTATTGCATGACATAAGTATTTGATTACCTACCAACCAGTAAGAATTCCGGCTCTCACAGACCTGTTAGTTTTTCTTTAAGAAGCCCTCCTGTTCTCCACTCATTACCTGTATTAACTGCACCTGTTTGAACTCGTTACCTGTATAAAAGACACCTGTCCACACACTCAATCAAACAGACTCCAACCTCTCCACAATGGCCAAGACCAGAGAGCTGTGTAAGGACATCAGGGATAAAATTGTAGACCTGCACAAGGCTGGGATGGGCTACAGGACAATAGGCAAGCAGCTTGGTGAGAAGGAAACAACTGTTGTCTCAATTATTAGAAAATGGAAGAAGTTCAAGATGACGGTCAATCACCCTCGGTCTGGGGCTCCATGCAAGATCTCACCTCGTGGGGCATCAATGATCATGAGGAAGGTGAGGGATCAGCCCAGAACTACACGGCAGGACCTGGTCAATGACCTGAAGAGAGCTGGGACCACAGTCTCAAAGAAAACCATTAGTAACACACTACGCCGTCATGGATTAAAATCCTGCAGCACACGCAAGGTCCCCCTGCTCAAGCCAGCGCATGTCCAGGCCCATCTGAAGTTTGCCAATGACCATCTGGATGATCCAGAGGAGGAATGGGAGAAGGTCATGTGGTCTGATGAGACAAAAATAGAGCTTTTTGGTCTAAACTCCACTCGCCGTGTTAGGAGGAAGAAGGATGAATACAACCCCAAGAACAGCATCCCAACCGTGAAGCATGGAGGTGGAAACATCATTCTTTGGGGATGCTTTTCTGCAAAGGGGACAGGACGACTGCACCGTATTGAGGGGAGGATGGATGGGGCCATGTATCGCGAGATCTTGGCCAACAACCTCCTTCCCTCAGTAAGAGCATTGAAGATGGGTCGTGACTGAGTCTTCCAGCATGACAACGACCCGAAACACACAGCCAGGGCAACTAAGGAGTGGCTCCGTAAGAAGCATCTCAAGGTCCTGGAGTGGCCTAGCCAGTCTCCAGACCTGAACCCAATAGAAAATCTTTGGAGGGAGCTGAAAGTCCGTATTGCCCAGTGACAGCCCCGAAACCTGAAGGATCTGGAGAAGGTATGTATGGAGGAGTGGGCCAAAATCCCTGCTGCAGTGTGTGCAAACCTGGTCAAGACCTACAGGAAACGTATGATCTCTGTAATTGCAAACAAAGGTTTCTGTACCAAATATTAAGTTCTGCTTTTTTGATGTATCAAATACTTATGTCATGCAATAAAATGCAAATTAATTACTTAAAAATCATATAATGTGATTTTCTGGATTTTTGTTTTAGATTCAGTCTCTCACAGTTGAAGTGTACCTATGATAAAAATTACAGACCTCTACATGCTTTGTAAGTAGGAAAACCTGCAAAAATCGGCAGTGTATCAAATACTTGTTCTCCCCACTGTATATACACTGCTCAAAAAAATAAAGGGAACACTTAAACAACACAATGTAACTCCAAGTCAATCACACTTCTGTGAAATCAAACTGTCCACTTAGGAAGCAACACTGATTGACAATACATTTCACATGCTGTTGTGCAAATGGAATAGACAACAGGTGTAAATTATAGGAAATTAGCAAGACACCCCCAATAAATGACTGGTTTGCAGGTGGTGACCACAGACCACTTCTCAGTTCCTATGCTTCCTGGCTGATGTTTTGGTCACTTTTGAATGCTGGCGGTGCTTTCACTCTAGTGGTAGCATGAGACGGAGTCTACAACCCACACAAGTGGCTCAGGTAGTGCAGCTCATCCAGGATGGCACATCAATGCGAGCTGTGGCAAGATGGTTTGCTGTGTCTGTCAGCGTAGTGTCCAGAGCATGGAGGCGCTACCAGGAGACAGGCCAGTACATCAGGAGACGTGGAGGAGGCCGTAGGAGGGCAACAACCCAGCAGCAGGACTGCTACCTCCGCCTTTGTGCAAGGAGGAGCAGGAGGAGCACTGCCAGAGCCCTGCAAAATGACCTCCAGCAGGCCACAAATGTGCATGTGTCTGCTCAAACGGTCAGAAACAGACTCCATGAGGGTAGTATGAGGGCCCGACGTCCACAGGTAGGGGTTGTGCTTACAACCCAACACCGTACAGGACGTTTGGCATTTGCCAGAGAACACCAAGATTGGCAAATTCGCCACTGGCGCCCTGTGCTCTTCACAGATGAAAGCAGGTTCACACTGAGCACGTGACAGAGTCTGGAGATGCTGTGGAGAACGTTCTGCTGCCTGCAACATCCTCCAGCATGACCGGTTTGGCGGTGGGTCAGTCATGGTGTGGGGTGGCATTTCTTTGGGGGGCAGCACAGCCCTCCATGTGCTCGCCAGACGTAGCCTGACTGCCATTAGGTACCGAGATGAGATCCTCAGACCCCTTGTGAGACCATATGCTGGTGCGGTTGGCCCTGGGTTCCTCCTAATGCAAGACAATGCTAGACCTCATGTGGCTGGAGTGTGTCAGCAGTTCCTGCAAGAGGAAGGCATTGATGCTATGGACTGGCCTGCCCGTTCCCCAGACCTGAATCCAACTGAGCACATCTGGGACATCATGTCTCGCTCCATCCACCAACGCCACGTTGCACCACAGACTGTCCAGGAGTTGGCGGATGCTTTAGTCCAGGTCTGGGAGGAGATCCCTCAGGAGACCATCCGCCACCTCATCAGGAGCATGCCCAGGCGTTGTAGGGAGGTCATACAGTCTCCCGAGTGGCGCAGTGGTCTAAGGCACTGCATCGCAGTGCTAGCTGTGCCACTAGAGATCCTGGTTCGAATCCAGGCTCTGTCGTAGCCGGCCGTGACCGGGAGACCCATGGGGCGGCGCACAATTGGCCCAGCGTCGTCTAGGGTAGGGGAGGGAATGGCCAGCAGGGATGTAGCTCAGTTGGTAGAGCATGGCGTTTGCAACGCCCGGGTTGTAGGTTCGATTCCCACCGGGGTATGAAAAAAAAAAAAATCATGTATGCACTCACTAACTGTAAGTCGCTCTGGATAAGAGCGTCTGCTAAATGACTAAAATGTAAATGATACAGGCACGTGGAGGCCACACACACTACTGTGCCTCATTTTGACTTGTTTTAAGGACATTACATCAAAGATGGATCAGCCTGTAGTGTGGTTTTCCACTTTAATTTTGAGTGTGACTCCAAATCCAGACCTCCATGGGTTGATAAATTTGATTTCCATTGATCATTTTTGTGTGATTTTGTTGTCAGCACATTCAACTATGTAAAGAAAAAAGTATTTAATAAGATTATTTCATTCATTCAGATCTAGGATGTGTTATTTTTGTGTTCCCTTTATTTTTTTGAGCAGTGTATATATGGGGGCTACAACCATCCCAGCTCTGCAGATTTTGCTGCGAAGAGACAGAATCATTAGATCATTTGTTTTGGTACTGTCCATATGTAGCTTGTTTTTGGGTCACAGGTCCAGGAATGGCTGAAGAATTCCAACATTTACCTGGAGCCAACTCTGCAGATAGCACTACTGGGTCATTAGAAAAGTCATAGTCAAATCGATCAATAATATAATAATACTTTTAGCAAAAATGTTTATTTAATTTAAAAATCTGTAGGAACTATGAAAATAGAAAGGTTTAGAACTTTTGTGAAACATCACAGCAGTTGAAAAATATGGCAAATAGAAATCCAATATGGATGGTGTTGATAGATGGGAGGGGTTGAGTGGAGCTGAAGGGTGGGACTGATACCATAACTAATATAAAATATACTGTGTCCGTAAAATGTATATAGGTTCAGAACTTGTGTGAAACAGTTACAAATATATGGCAAATAGAATTCAAACTGGATGGTCTTCAGAAATAGATGGAAGGGGTTGACGGTAGCAGAAGGATAGTAGTAAAAACAAACAAAAGATAACAATTGTAAAATAGATTGTGTCTGTAAAATGTATATAGTATATACAAGCTGGAGTCAAGGAAAAGCAGCCAACAAGTGCTCAGCATATGTGGGAACTCCTTCAAGACTGTTGGAAAAGTATTCCAGGTGAAGCTCATTGAGAGAATGCCAAGAGTGTGCAAAGCTGTCATCAAGGCAAAGGGTGGCTACTTTGAAGAATCTCAAATATAAAATATATTTTGATTTGTTTAACACTTCTTTGGTTACTACATGATTCCATGTGTTATTTCATAGTTTTGTTGTCTTCAATATTAATCTACAATGTAGAAAATAGTAAAAATAAAGAAAAACCCTTGAATGAGTAGGTGTGTCCAAACTTTTGACTGGTACTGTGTGTGTGTGTGTGTGTGTGTATATATATACACACATACATATATATATATATACACATACACACACAAAACAATATATGGGGGATTGAAAATCATGCAGACAATTACATTGATGGAAGCTACAATCTGCAATATTAAAGCTGGTCTACCCCTAACAAAAACATACACATTTAAAGTAAGACATGTCAACAAACTGTGCTTTTTTTAGAGACAAAAATCACTACTGCTACATTGTAAACTGAAAAACATGACATTTTCAAAAAAGAAATAAAAAGTATTCTTTATTATCTTGATAAAAAAAATACAATGCATCTTCATATATGGCTTAAGGCATCCAACTCACGGATTGGAGATTGCGCACTGCTGTCAATGACAAGAACATTGTCTATAGTGCTAGTGACGTTGGTTCAGTCTCTTGTACAGGCACCCTATCAGTTTCACCATGCACCATCTTCTCTTCTGATGACTTCTCCAATGTCTGCAAAGCACAGTAAGCAAAGAGCAATATTTAGAAACAAATAATCCCAACAATGTGTTCAAAACATTAAGAACACCTTCCTAATATTGAGTTGTGCAAACACCCCCAGCAGCTTTGCAGTTCTTGACAAAAAACAGTGCGCCTGGCACCTACTACCATACCCTGTTCAAATGCACTTAAATATTTTGTCTTACCCATTCACCCTATGAATGGCACACATACACAATCCATGTATCAATTGTCTCAAGGCTTAAAATCCTTCTTTAACCTGTCTTCTCCCCTTCATTTACACTGATTGAAGAGTATTTAACAAGTGACATCAATAAAGGATCATAGCTTTCACCTGGTCAGTTGTCATGGAAAGAGAAGGTGTTCATAATATTTTGTACACTCAGTGTATATTAGTAATACCCAATGATGTACGCCTGCCTATACATGTGGATATGTCTATGGTAATACCATACAGAACATCATTCACATTATTTCAGAAGAGAATGGTGAGTTGCCACAAAACATTGCCACTACCGACAGGATCACTGCGCACAACATACACAATCATCATGTGTTGAGGGTACATGCACATTGACCAGGCAGGCAAACAAAAGCACAATAAAGCACAGTGGTGTTAAAAACATATGAAAGAGATGGCAAAGGGAAATTGGGGTAAAAAAAAAAAAAACACTGGATCTGCAATTTACCAATTGATGTAGAATCTGAATCATCCCATTAACGCATGTAAGGTGCTGTGGTTGGCATTTAAACACAAGGACAGAGGACTTACTGACTGTATACCCATAAACATAGATCATTTCCCAATATCCATAATGTAGTTTACGAAAGTTCAAATCAGGAAGGCTGGTTAATGATTGTTTGACAACCATCCACCACCAGCTATAATAACTTTAAACGCCCGTCATTGGAACTCCTTTCGCCTAGCATGGGGGGTTTCAATGCCAGCTGCCCAGCAAAGGGTTACCCATCATCAGCATCTGGCTCCGAGGAGCATGGTGTCATGAAGGGGTTTCTGTGAGAAGTACAGGAGGGGGTGTGTTACCCCATGTGGCGTTTTACCCCAAGTTATCCTAACAGGTAGGCCTACATTATATTCACTGTGTTTATGCAATTTTCTGGGGACATAAAATGTATCAATACATGCTAACTAGTTAAAATATCACATTTGGGATCTAGCTAAGGATTAAGCCCATGGTAAAAGCAGATAGGAAACCCCATGCATTAGCCTATGTATTTATAGCCATTATGCTGCATCAGTTGGGCTACAGGTGATAATGCGTATTGCTAATAGCATACCTGATAATATGGACCATGCATAGGCTATATGCATGGTCCAATATGTTAAAATAATTTTACCAATATGTTATTGGGCTCATTTCTGTAGGTGGAAATTCTATTTTAGATTTTAATTCATTTTGGAGTAGAATGTCCTTTTTAGAAGTCACCAGCTTAACTTAGTCCTTCTACATACAATTTCTCAGGGGGGGACCCCGGAACCCCACCCTAAGCGACATTTTCCTCCACTGCTAGAGGCAGGTCCCCTCTGTGGCTTGCAGCTCTGAAGTGTCAAATTATGTTTGGTTCTACTTTCAAGGATTTGTTGTGCAGCTTGCGGCCGAGACCACTTGCTGGAGTGACCTCCGGTATACAATTCCAGTGTAGAGGCTAAAAACCTAGAATGACAAGCTGCTTTTGATAAGCCCCCAGGTTCATAAGGGAACACCTTTGCATCCATAACTCAGTCGAGATCAACACAAACCACTTACATTATTCCCTTGTGTAGTTGTTGAGGGCTGCCTCTTGGCCAGCTGCTCAGCCTCCCAGTCAGTAGCCACCTTAGATTCAGACGTCACGTCCCTCTCATTGGGTTTGGCTTTAGCTGGAGAGGGTTTAGCTTCTTGTGAGTCATTTCCTTCAGTTGTGGCCCCAGCTACAACTGGTTCTTGCTGAATCTCTTCCTGGACGTTGCTAAACAGCCGGTCGTCGTTCCTCAGGGTCTCCACGTATCTGGGAGGGGAGCATTGAGGGGCGTCCCCCCCTGCCTGTGGGTCGTGGTTTGTCCCTCTCAGATGGGCCTTGGGCTCGGGCTTGTCCACGGCTGGAGGAGGGGGGTCCCTGGGCCTGCCGATGCGCAGCAGTCTCGTAATGCCGGGCCGGATGGCTGCCTGGCAGCTACAGTACATAAACACCTGAGGAAGATGGAGGAATATACTGCTTCAGTGACATTCAGGAAACTGGCTAAAACTGGAAACAGTTAGTATGACTGCTGTGTGATAGTCAGGGATGGGTTAAATTCCATTCCATTTCAATACAGAAGTAAATAGAAATTCTCAATCAAGAATTGAAAAGGGCCATTTAGTTTCTTAAGGATTTTTCAACACCAATTCTCTTTCTGAATTGTTTGAATTGAAATGGAATTTACCCAAGCCCTTGTGACAGTGTTTCAAGTGTGTGTGTGTGTACCAGGATGGAAAGCACGATGATGAAGAGCACAGGGATCTGCAGGGTGACCGGTAGGTCCTTGAGGGCAACGAGGAACTCACTGATCCTCTGGCCAAAGTGCTTCTGAGTTTCCGTGAAGAAGTTGGTGATGGTCATAGTGATTTCCTTCAGAGACAGAGATATAATAATACACTATCACACTGCGTCCCATTGGAAATAGGCTAAATGTTACACAGGTTATTGGTCGTCAACAGGGTTAGGGTCAATCCATTTCAGTGCAGTCAATGCAGGAAGGATTCACTCTCATTGTTTCCTTTATTTGGACAGGTAGAACTAGAGACGGATACAGAGAGATGGGATGCATTTAAGGGTTGGAGTTGGGGTTTGAACCCTAGTCTCCGGTAGGGACAGTTTATGTGCCTAGAGCATTACCGCTAGACCAAAGGCTTTGCACTTACTTCCTGTATGGACTGAATTGAAATAGAATTGTTCCCAACCCCGGTTGTCAACTACAGGTTACCTTAGTTGGGGGTACGAGAAGGATTGGGTTGACCATGAGGACTTCGTAGTACATCTTACAGAGATCGTGCTGGAGAGTCATGGCACCTCTGTACCAATCTGGGGTAAAGGCAGGAAGGAGTCCACTAAAGTCTTTCTAAAACTAGCCGCCGAAATTGTCGCAACCCCTATTACTAGCCTGTTCAACCTCTCTTTCGTAACGTCTGAGATCCCCAGAGATTGGAAAGCTGCCGCGGTCATCCCCCTCTTCAAAGGGGGTGACACTCTAGATCCAAACTGTTACAGACCCATATCCATCCTGCCCTGCCTTTCAAACGTTTTTGAAAGCCAAGTTAACAAAACAGATCACCGACCATTTCGAATCCCACCGTACCTTCTCCGCTATGCAATCCGGTTTCCGAGCTGGTCATGGGTGCACTTCAGCCACGCTCAAGGTCCTAAACGATATTATAACCGCGATCGATAATAGACAGTACTGTGCAGCCGTTTTCATTGACCTGGCCAAGGCTTTCGACTCTGTCAACCACCGCATTCTTATTGGCAGACTAAATAGCCTTGGATTCTCAAATGACTGCCTCGCCTGGTTCACCAACTACTTCTCAGATAGAGTTCAATGTGTCAAATCGGAGGGCCTGTTGTCTGGACCTATGGCAGTCTCTATGGGGGTGCCACAGGGTTCAATTCTTGGGCAGACTCTTTTCTCTGTGTATATCAATGACGTCGCTCTTGCTGCTGGTGACTCTCAGATCCACCTCTACGCAGACGACACCATTTTGTATACATCTGGCCCTTCATTGGACACTGTGTTAACAAACCTCCAAACGAGCTTCAATGCCATACAACACTCCTTCAGTAGCCTCCAACTGCTCTTAAACACTAGTAAAACTAAATGCATGCTCTTCAACCGAACGCTGCTTGCACCCGCCCACCCGACTAGAATCACTACTCTCGACGGGTCTGACCTAGAGTATGTGGACAACTACAAATATCTAGGTGTCTGGTTAGACTGTAAACTCTCCTTCCAGACTCACATTAAGAATCTCCAATCCAAAGTTAAATCTAGAATCGGTTTCCTATTTCGCAACAAAGCCTCCTTCACTCATGCTGCCAAACATGCCCTCGTAAAACTGACTATCCTACCGATCCTTGACTTCGGCGATGTCATTTACAAAATAGCCTCCAACACTCTACTCAGCAAATTGGATGTAGTCTATCACAGTGCCATCCGTTTTGTCTCCAAAGCCCCATATACTACCCACCACTGTGACCTGTACGCTCTTGTTGGCTGGTCCTCACTACATATTCGTCGCCAAACCCACTGGCTCCAGGCCATCTATAAATCACTGCTAGGCAAATCCCCGCCTTATCTTAGCTCATTGGTCACCATAGCAACACCCACCCGTAGTATGCGCTCCAGCAGGTATATCTCACTGGTCATCCCCAAAGCCAACACCTCCTTTGGCCGCCATTCCTTCCAGTTCTCTGCTGCCAATGACTGGAACAAATTGCAAAAATCTCTGAAGCTGGAGACACTTATCTCCCTCACTAACTTTAAGCATCAGTTGTCAGAGCACCTTACCGATCACTGCACCTGTACACAGCCCATCTGAAATTAGCCCGCCCAACTACCTCATCCCTATATTGTTATTTATTTTGCTCATTTGTACCCCAGTATCTCTATTTGCACATCATCTCTTGCACATCTATCATTCCAGTGTTAATACTAATTGTAATTATTTTGCACTATAGCCTATTTATTGCCTTACCTCCATAACTTGCTACATTTGCACACACTGTATATATATTTATTTCTGTTGTATTTTTTACTTTGTTTTGTTTTACCCCATATGTAACTCTGTGTTGTTGTTTTTATCGCACTGCTTTGCTTTATCTTGGCCAGGTCGCAGTTGTAAATGAGAACTTGTTCTCAACTGGTTTACCTGGTTAAATAAAGGTGAAAAAAAACACTGCCAATTTTGCTGGTTTTCCTACTTACAAAGCATGTAGAGGTCTGTAATTTTTATCATAGGTACACTTCAACTGTGAGAGACGGAATCTAAAACAAAAATCCAGAAAATCACATTGTAGGATTTTTAAGTAATTAATTTGCATTTTATTGCATGACATAAGTCATGCAATAAACCAGTAAGAATTCCGGCTCTCACAGACCTGTTAGTTTTTCTTTAAGAAGCCCTCCTGTTCTCCACTCATTACCTGTATTAACTGCACCTGTTTGAACTCGTTACCTGTATAAAAGACACCTGTCCACACACTCAATCAAACAGACTCCAACCTCTCCACAATGGCCAAGACCAGACAGCTGTGTAAGGACATCAGGGATAAAATTGTAGACCTGCACAAGGCTGGGATGGGCTACAGGACAATAGGCAAGCAGCTTGGTGAGAAGGCAACAACTGGCAATTATTAGAAAATGGAAGAAGTTCAAGATCACGGTCAATCACCCTCGGTCTGGGGCTCCATGCAAGATCTCACCTCGTGGGGCATCAATGATCATGAGGAAGGTGAGGGATCAGCCCAGAACTACACGGCAAGACCTGGTCAATGACCTGAAGAGAGCTGGGACCACAGTCTCAAAGAAAACCATTAGTAACACACTACGCCGTCATGGATTAAAATCCTGCAGCGCACGCAAGGTCCCCTTGCTCAAGCCAGCGCATGTCCAGGCCCGTCTGAAGTTTGCCAATGACCATCTGGATGATCCAGAGTAGGAATGGGAGGTCATGTGGTCTGATGAGACAAAAATATAGCTTTTTGGTCTAAACTCCACTCGCCGTGTTTGGATGAAGAAGAAGGATGAGTACAACCCCAAGAACACCATCCCAACCGTGAAGCATGGAGGTGGAAACATCATTCTTTGGGGATGCTTTTCTGCAAAGGGGACAGGACGACTGCACCGTATTGAGGGGAGGATGGATGGGGCCATGTATCGCGAGATCTTGGCCAACAACCTCCTTCCCTCAGTAAGAGCATTGAAGATGGGTCGTGGCTGGGTCTTCCAGCATGACAACGACCCGAAACACACAGCCAGGGCAACTAAGGAGTGGCTCCGTAAGAAGCATCTCAAGGTCCTGGAGTGGCCTAGCCAGTCTCCAGACCTGAACCCAATAGAAAATCTTTGGAGGGAGCTGAAAGTCCATATTGCCCAGCGACAGCCCCGAAACCTGAAGGATCTGGAGAAGGTCTGTATGGAGGAGTGGGCCAAAATCCCTGCTGCAGTGTGTGCAAACCTGGTCAAGACCTACAGGAAACGTATGATCTCTGTAATTGCAAACAAAGGTTTCTGTGCCAAATATTAAGTTCTGCTTTTCTGATGTATCAAATACTTATGTCATGCAATAAAATGCAAATTAATTACTTAAAAATCATACAATGTGATTTTCTGTATTTTTGTTTTAGATTCCGTCTCTCACAGTTGAAGTGTACCTATGATAAAAATTACAGACCTCTACATGCTTTGTAAGTAGGAAAACCTGCAAAATCGGCAGTGTATCAAATACTTGTTCTCCCCACTGTATGTGTATGTATATATCTATCTCTCGTGTGTTCGCAGGTGGGAAGAGTTAGCCAAATTCTTTTGTCAATTAGCTTCAGCTGGCTGGTGTGCAACCGTGGCAAATTTGCTTTGACTTTGGATAGCCCATCTCTGGGACAATATTTGTTGCACATCTTTTAGTTGTCTCATTAAATGCTTCCAATATTTGTATACGAATTTCTACAATTTATAGATGGTTTGAGGTTAAGTCGTAAAAATGTAGAGCTATTGACCTTTTAAAATATTGTCCCAGGTACATTGTGTAATTTACTGATGGTCCCCAACTAGCCACATAGGGATATTGGATGTCAAACCAAATTGACATTCGATCAGGTCGCATGCAGCTGCGCTCCAAATTACTTGGGTACTGTCAGCTGTGGGCAGGATTATAATAAACCCAACCCACGGAAAACTGTTACGGTACCCTTCATTCCGTGATATTCCATTCTTTCCTATAATTGCAAATCTGTTTTGGACGAGAATGACTTTATGACTAAATGTATCCTATTTACACTTTGTAGTCAATGATGACACTAGAATATATGTTTCTGGCTCATATTGATGCCACATAGGCCATTTTCAAAATGAGAAGTTGCTTTTTAGGGGCAGTCGCTCCTTAAATAATTGCAATGACAATGAGAACTATTCCTGGCGTTATAATGCCAACGAGTGGTGTCAGTTCTGTTTGTCTTGAGTGTACAGTAAATGACTGTGCTCTGAATCAGAGTGGTTTAGTCATATCGATGAACACAGAAATGTGCAAGTTAGCTTCATACGCATCTCAGTCAGTCAGTGGAGCAGATCGGACTCGCCTCCTCAAGCAAAGATCAGACACATGCCAGCCAGCACCATTGAGAGCAGTTTTGTTTTTATATGTCCTGTAGATTGTGTGTAGGCTAGTCCTATCTTATGCGTTACAGTATGAACTTCTAAGTCCAGAAAATAAGTTCCCTCGCAGAAAAAGAAAAGTTATTTTAATCCCGTGTATCCTACTTTACAAACTATCAATCATCAATTCCTTTAGGCAAACCACATGTGGTGTGTACGGTTGTAAATCCACTTCATTTTGAGCATCACAGTCCCCTCTGCTACAAATTATCACCTTCATGACTGTGTCGATCTCCACACCAAAGGTGTCCTCAAAGTGCCATCTCGAGGCCTCGAATTCTTGTGGTTTGAGATCCACCAGGATCTGGCTGAGGGCATCGTCCAGAGCCCCCATTCTACAGCTGTCCATTCCCTCCAGAAGCGTCCAGATCTCTGCCAACGCTTGCCGAGACAGTCTTACTTTGGCGTCGTAGTAGAGATCATTCTGGAAATCACTGGGCTAGTGGTTGGAAAGAAATAGAAAATAAATAGTACAAAGTATAGGCATTTGGCATCTACAGATAGCATATTACATCACAAGGTGGTAACTAGGGTTGGGCGATGTCAACCTTTATCCTATCGTGATTATGTACTCAAAACTTTGTGATATACGATGGTATCGCCCCCTATTATAAATACCTCCGCTACAACCACATACTACAACTGGACGAATCATGACAAAAGATAATGTTGAAAGCCTGGGCAGAGGCTAAGTGGAGGCAAATCTTTTCTAATCTTTCTGGTAGAGCGTCAGCATTGCCTCATCTTCCTTTCTTAACGGGCATATTGTTTGTTCCATCTCTCATAAAGCTGTGATTGAGAATAGCCTAAGCCTAGGCTATAGACTAACTTTCATTCTTGTTCTTTTTGAATGCGGCACATTTTGGACAACTTCTTAGGCTATTAAAATATTTGGGAAATAGGCTACTGGTGATAACTTTAACTTGTCTTGACGCTTTTATGATAGGCCTAGCTGGGCAGGTTATTGGCCATTTTGGATTTCAACCTCTCATGTTTTTTTTTTCTTCCAGACAGCACAAATCATTTATTTTTTAACCCCCTAGAGTCGATGTCCGCATGGAAATCTAATTAGCATAATACAAAATCCCCATCAAAATCTGTCTGTTTAATAACCTAGAGATGTTTTTTTGCATGGGCTGTGTCTCAAACAACGGCATCCGCTCATGACGGCCTTCCGCATCTGCAGTGGAAGGTGGCAAAGCTAAAGCAGTATTTGTCAGACCAGGAGACGTCCCGAAAATCAGTCTTCTCACAAAAACATCTGCGTCCGAACGGTTTGGGCTGCACATTAATATGACCCCTCTATGGAAAGATGAGACTCTCACGAACAGGATGGTGTTCTCCGTTTTGGTATAGGGGTAATTCCACATCTCTCAGATATAGGACCGACACTTCAAAACATACTTCTTTTTGATGTATTTTTTGACATGTATGAATCTGTTATTCAATGCGTTTCTATGGGCTAATAGAAGTTAAAACTTAATGTTTAAGTGCTACTCTACGGTATGGTAATGTTCATGGTAGAGTTCAAATGTAATTATATTATTATTGTAGTCCCATCCTCCACCACAGAGTTCTTGTAAATTACATTTGTTTGTTGCAAGTCAAGTTTCTGTTTGCATGTCCTGATTCGTCACTCTTCCTCCCAAAGTGTGCACTAGTTCAGTGTTCCTCATTCTTGGCCCAGAAGGGCAGCAGTGTGTAAATTGTCATCCCTACCTGTGCTAGAACACCTATTAAAACTACAATAAGACCATACTTGGATAAATTGAGTGAATTAATGGTTGGGTGTGACAACATGCACTAAACCGGAGTATACAGATATCATGAACAATAAAAAAAACTGTCATTGAATTGTGACTAGTGCACTGATCATTAGTTGTACATTGATAATCTGTGTTAGGTTTCCACCCATTTTAACCTTTTTGATAATTAATTTTGTGCTCCTTTTTCACAGGCGGTTCAGGGCTGATGACCTGTCTCCATAGCTGAGAGAAGCCGAGAAGGAATATCACTTTGTCCCCAATACTACTACAAATATTTCTAACTGTACTGATGAGAAAGAGGAAGGCAGACTTATCCATTGTTGCTGAACTGTGTTCAGTCAAGTTTACAGTGACAATTTGTTACCAGCCATATGTTCAATAAGGTATTCTGCAAATAGTTCTGCCAATCTTATGTTGGAAACCATTATCAAGGAAAACGAGTCAAACACTTTGTGGAAATTGTAACCGGTTTCTTGAACACGAACGAGGACAATAATAACTGTTACCTGTAGGACAGTGTCTCTATCACAGGTCTCCAGGTGTACAGTAAGGGGTATATCCTTAATAAAATAATTTGTGATGGTTAATTGTGCAGACTGATTGCTACGTCATGACAAATCCATTAACTAATTAAAAACGTATCTGCTTTATGCCTCTGCATTTTCCAGTCGACACAAGCAAGGAAAAACTTGTGTATATGCAATAATGCCCATGTCTTGCAGCTTTAACAGTATTGAGTCAAGAAACAGCTTTGTCGACTGTCTCACCAAGGGCTAACTCAAAGAATGTTACGGCAAGGTTATGTCCATCTACTCTGTCTCTTCAAATTTGACAAATACACAACATGGAGTTATTGTTACTGGCAATATATACACTACATCACCAAAAGTATGTGGACACATGCTTATCGAACATCTCATTCCAAAATCATGGGCATTAATATAGAGTTGGTCCCCCCCTTTGCTGCTATTACAGCCTCCACTCTTCTGGGAAGGCTTTCCACTAGATGTTGGAACACTGCTGCAGAGACTTGCCTCCATTCAGCAACAAGAGCATTAGTGAGGTCGGCATTCCAATTCATCCTAAAGGTGTTCGATGGGGTTGAGGTCAGGGCTCTGTGGAGGCCAGTCAAGTTCTTCCACACCGACCTCGACAAACCATTTCTGTATGGACCTCGCTTTGTGCACGGGGGCTTTGTCATGCTGAAACAGGAAAGGGCCTTCCCAAAACTGTTGCCACAAAGTTGGAAGCACAGAATCGTCTAGAATGTCATTGTATGCTGTAGAGTTAAGATTTCCCTTCACTGGAACTAAAGGGGCCTAGCCCGAACCATGGGAAAAAATTGCCCCAGACCATTATTCCTCCTCCACCAAATGTTATGTTTGAATAGTTGACGCTATTCATTGGAGCAGGTAGCGTTCTCCTGGCATACACCAAACCCAGATTCGTCCATCAGACTGCCAGATGGTGAAGCGTGATTCATCACTCCAGAGAACGCGTTTCCACTGCTCCAGAGTCCAATGTCGGTGAGCTTTACACCACTTCTAAATATTATTGTTATTCCAGGTGACTACCTCATGAAGCTGGGTGAGAGAATGCCAAGAGTGTGCAAAGCTGTCATCAAGGCAAAGGGTGGCTACTTTGAAGAATCTAAAATATATTTTGGTTACTACATGATTCCATATGTGTTATTTCATAGTTTTGATGTCTTCACTATTATTCTATAATGTAGAAAACAGTAAAAATAAAGGAAAATCCTGGAATGAGTAGGTGTCCAAACTTATGACTGGTACTGTAAGTATTCAGACCCTTTGCTATAAGACTCGAAATTGAGCTCAGGTGCATCCCGTTTCCATTGATCATCCTTAAATGTTTCTACAACTTGATTGGTGTCCACCTGTGGTAAATTAAACTGATTGGACATGATTTGGAAAGGCACACACCTGTCTATATAAAGGTCCCACAGTTGACAGTGCACGTCAGAGCAAAAACCAAGCCATTAGGTCGAAATAATTGTCCGTAGAGCTCTGAGACAGGATTGTGTTGAGGCACAGATCTGGGGAAGGGTAGCAAACATTTTTGCAGCATTGAAGGTCCCCAAGAACACAGTGGCCTCCATCATTCTTAAATGGAAGAAGCTTGGAACCACCAAGACTCTTCCTAGAGCTGGCCGCCCGGCCAAACTGAGCAATCGGGGGAGAAGGGCCTTGGTCAGGGAGGTGACCAAGAACCCGATGGTCACTCTGACAGAGCTCCATAGTTCCTCTGTGGAGATGGGAGAACCTTCCAGAAGGACAAACATCTCTGTAGAGTGGCCAGACGGAAGACACTCAGTAAAAGGCACATGACAGCCTGCTTGGGGTTTGCCAAAAGGCACCTAAAGGACTCTGACCACAAGATTCTTTGGTCTGATGAAACCAACATTGAACTCTTTGGGCTGAATGCAAACAGTCACATCTGGAGGAAACCTGGCACCATCCCTACGGTGAAGCATCGTGATAGCAGCATCATGCTGTGGGGATGTTTTTAGCGGCAGGGACTGAGAAACTAGTCAGGATCGAGGAAAAATGAACGTAGCAAAGTACAAAGAGATCCTTGATGAAAACCTGCTCCAGAGCGCTCAGGACCTCAGACTGGGGCGAAGGTTCACCTTCCAACAGGACAACGACCCTAAGCACACAGCCAAGACAACGCAGGAGTGGCTTCGGGACAAGTGTCTGAATGTCTTTGAGTGGCCCAGTCAGAACCCGGACTTGAACCCGATCGAACATCTCTGGAGAGACCTGAAAATAGCTGTGCAGCTACGCTCCCCATCCAACTTGACAGAGATTGAGAGGATCTGCAGAGAAGAATGGGAGAAACTCCCAAAATACAGGTGTGCCAAGCTTGTAGCGTCATACCCAAGAAGACTCAAGGCTGTAATCACTGCCAAAGGTGCTTCAACAAAGTACTGAGTAAAGGGTCTGAATACTTATGTAAATGTGAAATTTCCGTTTTTCTAAAAACCTGTTTTTGCTTTGTCATTATGGGGTATTGTGTGTAGATGGATGAGGGGAAAATGTTATTTAATCCATTTTAGAATAAGGCTGCAACGTAACAAAGTGTGGAAAAAGTAAAGGGGTCTGAATACTTTCCCGAATGCACTGTAAATTGATGTTTACAAAAGGTTGGTTTTGGCTTTGGTTATGTTGCACTGCAGCTATCTAGAAATGACCACAGTAATTTGTGTGAATCAACTTGCTAGCTAGCTTCTTAGCCTGTTAGTTAGCAGTACAGTATGAAGATGGGCAGAAACCGCTTCTCCAATAGAAATCCACGATCACACTTCTAGGCAATACCATGGCGACATTGGCTAGCTAAGCTCATGCGCAGGAACACGTCAGTGTCACTTTCATAAGGTTGGAGTATTAACATGTTCAACTACTTAAGACATTGGCTCTAATCCAGGTTGTGCCTTAAGATTTTCCACTTTCTTTTCACAATTTGTCCTTTTCCACTCTCATTGGCTGTGTTCGAGAGCATGAAAAAAACAGTGATGTATTGTGGGAAAATTGTGACTGACTGATCTACAAATAATAATGAGTTGTTATTTATGATGCAAGGTGACTTGTAGATCAGTCAGTCGGCAGTTGCCTGCACTGTCGGCTGCAATATCAAGCCCATAGACTTCTCAAACCCCGGACTGCTTCGCAAGCGTTCCCATAAATATTAATAATAATAATATAAGTATTGCGATGTTGGCCTCTGGGTTTAGAAACTGTAGTTAGGTGCTGAAGATATTAGTTCAGGCGATACATTCGACACCTCTAACTTCTGGAATTAGCAATTCAAGCTACTTTATACAGTAAAAAAACTAGTTGCTAGCAAGTTATCCGGGTGCACGGTAGCCTATCTAACATACCTACATGTAGCTAGGATGTAAACAAACTGGATCATTGGGTGAGGCTGACCTGTCACTCCAAAACCGGTTGACCAATAGACGCATCATCTTAGGCTCCCTCTTAACCCCACCTACATGGAATGAATGTGCCAAAACTTAGCAACTGCAAAAACTAGGCAGTGAAAACAAAATGCAGGGTAACATACCCAAAGATAGAAAAAATTGCAGGCAAAGAGGGACCCGTTTCACTGAATATATATATTTTAGCATTCATTTACAATTCATTTGTTCTTGCCTTTCAAAATGATTTCCTTGCAATATTATTTATTTTGCTCTCAGTACTTGTGATTTTATTGCTTTCAATATCATTAATTTTGTTTGCAATACTAAGGATTTTGTTCTCGAATTCAAAAGGCTTGCTTGATATTAAAGGCTGAAGACTAATTCCATTCTTCTTCCTCCACACGGCGATGTTCGGACATCTTTGTCTGGTGTAAAAGGAGGCTATTGCAAACATCATCACAAATGTACACTTGGTTAAAACGCTGATTGTTTTGCCCCAATGCAATGTGTCCTCCCGAGTGGCGCAGTGGTCTAAAGCACTGCATTGCAGTGCTAGCTGTGCCACTAGAGATCCTGGTTCGAATCCAGGCTCTGTCGTAGCTGGCCGCGACCGGGAGACCCATGGGGCGGCGCACAATTGGCCCAGCGTCGTCCAGGGAGGGGGGAGGGAATGGCCGGCAGGGATGTAGCTCAGTTGGTAGAGCATGGCGTTTGCAAATATTGTATGCACTAACTGTAAGTCGCTCTGGATAAGAGCGTCTGCTAAATGACGTAAATGTAGACTGTGCCCTGCTTGTGCTCCTGCAATATCCTTAGTTAGCCTATAACAGACAGAAGGTTGTAGCCTACATCACAAATTAGCTTACAAATATATATTTTTTCGGAATATTCGTTTCAAATAGCTGCAGGGTTTTTATTTCTGTTATTCAGAAATATGAGGCAGAGACGTAGGCTACATCATCAAGGCGATCAAATTGGTTGAGAGTTCAGAAGAGGGTGAGTAAAGAGAGAAATGTGAAGGGAGGGAGAGGTTGAGCAGCAGCTATGTAAAAACATTTGGTGGGTGTAAAATAACATGCGCAGAATGTGAATCGGATCGATCAGCTCTGGGGAAAAAGATCCAGGGGGGCCTGCGGGATGGTTACATACTGATCCGCAGCCCCGGCTTTTACATAAAGAGCATTAGGGCATCGATTGTTAGTGTTCATACCAGATGAGACAATGCCAAAACATACCAGGCCAAATTTTTCAATCTCCTTCAGAAGCTTGGTGAGGAATTGCTTGAACACAGCGTTGCATGACGGCAGCTGTGAAACCTGTGTAAAGAAAAATTAAATACAAATCAGGAAAGTGACATATCACCTTCTCGCCATTCTGTCATAAGCATTTAATAGATGGCGAGAATAATGTGTATTCGACATGTTTGTATTTTCAACTTCAACTACCTCAACTAGCCGGTGCCCCTGCACATTTACTCTGCACCGGTACCCCCCTGTATATATAGCCTCCCAACTTTTATTTTACTTCTGGTCTTTTTTTCTCTCAACACTTTGTTTTATTCTACTTTTTTTATTAAAAATAAATGCACTGTTGGTTAAGGGCTGTAAGTAAGCATTTCACTGTAATGTGTGCACCTGTTGTATTCGGCGCATGTGGCCAATAAAATTTGATTTGATTTGATTTTGTTCAAATAGCTTGCTGCCGCAATAGGAAACATGACAAAGAAAACAACAAAACAAGGCCACACCTCGGAAAGGGAAAACCTAGTCAGTTGCACAACTGAATGCATTGAACTGAAATGTGTCTTCTGCATTTAAAGGGTGCACTACGCAGAAAATCGCTCTGCCATTTCCCAGTTGGTAAAATTCTAATAGTTCGCTTCATTTCAGTTTGTGACAAAACAAGCAAGTCTAGTGTAGATAATCATTGTACCATTAAAAACAGTGTGAAATATATTTCCCATAACCAAAAATATTGTATTTTCAGCTGTTTGAAGCTGGTGTACAAATCCGAAAGTAAAAGAGCAAAAAACAAAACTTAAGTGCGCATACAACATACCGTTTCTTAGATTTGCTTTCAATGAGAATGGCCGATCTATAGACCCCTTCCTGTGTTTACAAACATTGCCGCACGAGGGCGATGCACGCACGTTGGTGGCATAACAAGGGGGAGTTCTTATAGAACGCCAGCAAAAAAAAAGCCTATTTTTAACATGCTGCTTATTAGTGCATTTCACACTACTTTTGGATTATAATAAGATTAAGGCTCGTATGAATGTCCTGCTTAATATAATGTTTGTGTCATCGAAAATCAACTGCATTATACTTACACTTCAACCAGTAAAATGGCTCTTTGGCTAGCTGTTGCTACAGCCTATATCAATGAACGTTAGCATTCTAGCTAACAACTGCTGCATCCAAAATAGTTATTTTGCAAAGATCACAACCAAATATAATCTTAGCGACTGTTCAATCGATAATAAAAACATTGTAAGCGTATGACAATCACCAAAACATTATTTTGATTAGAAGAAATAAAAACTTAAATCTAGGCTATGTTGAATGGGCGCAGATGGCGATGGCTTTCTTACTGCCGCCAAGAGTCGCGCGCATCTGTGCGTGACGTCAGTGTTTCACGTACTGGAAAAGGGTCTAGAACACACATTTCTATGTGAATTTGTCCATGTCACCTAAAAAGTTACATATTGCAGCCCATTGGTCAAAATATGCGTTTTTGATTGGATACCCTAAATAATAAAATAAAAAAAGGGGGTAGATCAGCTTAAATATTGCAGATAGATTGTAGCTTCCATCAAAGTAATTATCAGCATCATTTTCAAACCCCCATATTTCTTTGTAAATATATTTATAAACAGTACCAGTCAAAAGTTGACACACCTACTCATTCCAGGGTTTTTCTTTATTTTTACTATTTTCTACATTGTAAAATAATAGTTAAGACATCAAAACTATGAAATAACACATGGAATCATGTAGGAATAAAAAAAAAAAAAGTGTTAAAACTATATTTTAGATTCTTCAAAGTAGCCACCCTTTGCCTTGATGACAGCTTTGCACACGCTTGGCATTCTCTCAACCAGCTTCACCTGGAATGCTTTTCCAACAGTCTTGAAGGAGTTCCCACATGCTGAGCACTTGTTGGCTGCTTTTCCTTCACTCTGCGGTCCAACTCATCTCCATTGGGTTGAGGTTGGGTGATTGTGGAGGCCAGGTCATCTGATGCAGCACTCCATTACTCTCCTTCTTGGTCAAATAGCCCTTACACTGAGGTGTGTGTTGGGTCATTGTCCTGTTGAAAAACAAATGATAGTCCCATTAAGCGCAAACCAGATGGGATGGCGTATCGCTGCAGAATGCTGTGGTAGTCATGCTGGTTAAGTGTGCCTTGAATTCTAAATAAATCAGCAAAGCACCCCAACACCATCACACCTCCTCCTCCATGCTTCACGGTGGGAACCACAAATGCGGAGATCATCCGTTCACCTACTCTGCGTCTCACAAAGACACAGCGGTTGGAACCAAAAATCTCCAATTTGGACTCATTAGACCAAAGGACAGATTTCCACCGGTCTAAATGTCCATTGCTCGTGTTTCTTGGCCCAAGCAAGTCACTTCTTCTTATTGGTGTCCTTTAGTAGTGGTTTCTTTGCAGCAATTCGACCATGAAGGCCTGATTCACGCAGTCTCCTCTGAACAGTTGATGTTGAGATGTGTCTGTTACTTGAACTTTGTGAAGCATTTATTTGGGCTGCAATCTGAGGTGCAGTTAACTCTAATGAATGTATCTTCTGCAGCAGAGGTAAGTGGGTCTTCCTTTCCTGTGGCGGTCCTCATGAGAGCCAGTTTCATCATAGCGCTTGATGGTTTTTGCGCCTGAAATGTTCAAAGTTCTTGAAATGTTTCGTATTGACTGACCTTCATGTCTGAAAGTAATGATGGCCTGTTGTTTATCTTTGCTTATTTGAGCTGTTCTTCATTGAGAAGGAAAGAAATTCTACAAATTAATTTTTGACAAAGCACACCTGTTAATTGAAATGCATCCAGGTGACTACCTCATGAAGCTGGTTGAGAGAATGCCAAGAGTGTGCAAAGCTGTCACCAAGGCAAAGGGTGGCTACGTTGAATAATTTTTAAATATAAAATATATTGACTTGTTTAACACTTTTTGGGTTCCTACAGGATTCCATGTGTTATTTCATAGTTTTGATGTCCTCACCATTATTCTACAATGTAGAAAATAGTAAAAATAAAGAAAAACCCTGGAATGAGTAGGTGTGTCCAAACAAACTTTTGACTGGTACAGTACATACATACATATTTTTTTAAACTATATTTCCTTTTTTATTTTCTGCTAACCTTACCACCCCTCCCCTCCCCTAATATGAGTAAACTAATGAACAACAGTTAGGCTTTTACTTCCAACAATAAGATAATAATTTCAACTTATGGCACCGAGTCAAGGCACGGAAACATGCATTGCATAGCTGCTTGTACTGTACCTCAGCAGGCTTTCTCATGGTCTTTGTGCTTGCGTCGTAGTTCAAAATATCATAGGGATCAATCCATTCTTCATCGTCCATCTGCCCTTGAGCAACGAGCAACAGGCTGCATACAGCAGCAGTGATGATGCACGTCGTGACAGCACTTGTTGACATCTTCTTCGTTTTAAGACGGCTAGCTAGCTAACGTTACTACTATGACATTTGAGGCTACTCTAGCTAACAAGCTATGCTACAGAGAACTTTGTCCTCATAAACCAGAAACACATCGCAATAACGTCAAGCTGTGATCTGTCTTTGGCGATGTTCTTCTTCCTCTTCTTTGGTATTATGGCGTTCGCAACAATTATATATGCATTCCGCCACCTACTGCGCAGGTGGATAATAAAGATCCCAAATGGGAAAAAATGCGGGGTAAAAAGATAAATAATAATAAATAATACTGTATATACACACTGAACAAAAATATAAACTCAACATGTAACAACTTCAAAATATTTTACTTGATCAGAATACTAGTGAGTATGTGACCCCCATTTGCCTCATGCAGCGTGAAATCTCCTTTGCATTGAGTTGATCAGGCTGTTGATTGTGGCCTGTGGAATGTTGTCCCACTCCTCTTCAATGGCTGTGCGAAGTTGTTGGATATCGGCAGGAACAGGAACAAGTTGTTGTACACGTTGATCCAGAGCATCCAAACAGGCTCAATGGGTGACATGTCTGGTGAGTATGCAGGCCGTGGAATAACTGGGACATATTCAGCTTCCAGGAATTGTGTACAGATCCTTGCTACATTGGGCAGTGCATTATCATGCTGTAACATGAGATGATGGTGGCGGATGAATGGCACGACAATGGGCCGCAGGATCTCGTGACGGTATCTCTGTGCATTCATGTTGCCATCGATAAAATGCAGTTGTGTTCGTTGTCCATAGCTTATGACTGCCCATACCATAACCCCACTGCCACCATCGGGCATTATGTTCGCAAACTTGACGTCAGCAAACCACTCGCCCACATGACGCTATACACGCTGTCTGCCGTCTGGTACAGTTGAAATCGGGATTCATCCATGAAGAGCACACTTCTCCAGTGTGCCACTGGCCATAGAAGGTGAGCGTTTGCCCACTGAAGTCGGTTACGACAGCGAACTGCAGTCAGGTCAAGACCCTGGTGAGAACGAGGAGCACGCAGATGCTCTGAGCAGCTTCCCTGAGACGGTTTCTGACAGTTTGTGTAGATATTCTTCAGTTGTGCAAACCCACAGTTTCATCAGTTGTCCAGGTGGCTGGTCTCAGACAATCCCGCAGGTGAAGAAGCTGGATGTGGAGGTCCTGGGCTGGCGTGGTTACACGTGGTCAGCGGTTGTGAGGCTGGTTGGACATACTGTCAAATTCTCTAAAACGGTTTATGGTAGAGAAATTAACATTACATTTTCTGGCAATAGCTCTGGTGGATATTTTTGCAGTCAGCATGCCAATTGCACGCTCTCTCAAAACTTGAGACATCTGTGGCATTGTGTTGTGTGACAAAACTGCTAATTTTAGAGTGGCCTTTATTTTCCCCCAGCACTGTGTAATTATCATGCTGTTTAATCAGCTTCTTGATATGCCACACCTGTCAGGTGGATGGATAATCTTGGCAAAGGAGAAATGCTCACTAACAGGGATGTAAACAAATTTGTGCACAACATTTCAGAAATAAGCTTTTTGTGCATATGGAACATTTCTGGGATCTTTTATTTCAGGTCATGAAACATGGGATCAACACTTTACATGTTGCGTTTATAGTTTTGTTAAGTATATATTTTTAAAAAATCCATACAAACTATCAATAACGACATTTAAATTAAACTAAAATCAGACTACTTTTCTGTTCTAATTAGGTCCCTACTCAGAAGGATCCTGTGAGGTCGGGACATTTTCTGGCAACAGAAGTCCTTGCAAGTAGCAGTGCTTCTGCCGTGAAGTCTTGGAGGCAAGGGCACAGTCATCATGCAAAAATTCCCAGTCATCATGCTAGGTAAGGGATCCTTTTAAATATGTTTAAGTGATTGATAAGACTGAACTAGATCAATTAATTAAATAATGAATATTATATTGTGTTGCACCTTTAATAAATAGCCTAACAAATGAACAACTCTTACAAGTAAAGTACAAAGACTTTTGATTGTCTTTATTAAGACATCCTCTATCAAATTTCAGCCAGACCGCACAGCCAGCCTGAGCGACCTGCATGCCCAACCCCCACCAGTCTAGTCAATAACTCAACTCTCTCCCCAACACAACTTCCTTCCCATATTTTATAAAAGTTGTATAAAAACACACAGAAACAGTACACCCTCCATATAACTCATATCATAGGCCTAATAGTACTGTAGAGCTCTTTTTACTTGCACACAATATAGCTGGGCCACCCCGTCCTGTCCCTAGGGGTCCAAGGCCCTGCAGTGCCCCAACCCAACACACCCCACTCAGCTTTAGGATCTTAGCGAAACATTCATTATTGGTTTCAGGTGTGTTAGGCCAAGGCCAGAGAGTCAACCAACTGTACGGCAGACACCCAGGGCCAGGACTGAGCAGCCCAGCAGCTAGGGATTGCCTAAATAGGTACAGTGGGGGAAAAAAGTATTTAGTCAGCCACCAATTGTGCAAGTTCTCCCACTTAAAAAGATGAGAGGCCTGTAATTTTCATCATAGGTACACGTCAACTATGACAGACAAAATGAGATTTTTTTTCTCCAGAAAATCACATTGTAGGATTTTTAATGAATTTATTTGCAAATTATGGTGGAAAATAAGTATTTGGTCAATAACAAAAGTTTCTCAATACTTTGTTATATACCCTTTGTTGGCAATGACACAGGTCAAACGTTTTCTGTAAGTCTTCACAAGGTTTTCACACACTGTTGCTGGTATTTTGGCCCATTCCTCCATGCAGATCTTCTCTAGAGCAGTGATGTTTTGGGGCTGTCGCTGGGCAACACGGACTTTCAACTCCCTCCAAAGATTTTCTATGGGGTTGAGATCTGGAGACTGGCTAGGCCACTCCAGGACCTTGAAATGCTTCTTACGAAGCCACTCCTTCGTTGGCCGGGCGGTGTGTTTGGGATCATTGTCATGCTGAAAGACCCAGCCAAGTTTCATCTTCAATGCCCTTGCTGATGGAAGGAGGTTTTCACTCAAAATCTCATGGCCCCATTCATTCTTTCCTTTACACGGATCAGTCGTCCTGGTCCCTTTGCAGAAAAACAGCCCCAAAGCATGATGTTTCCACCCCATGCTTCACAGTAGGTATGGTGTTCTTTGGATGCAACTCAGCATTCTTTGTCCTCCAAACACGACGAGTTGAGTTTTTACCAAAAAGTTATATTTTGGTTTCATCTGACCATATGACATTCTCCCAATCCTCTTCTGGATCATCCAAATGCACTCTAGCAAACTTCAGATGGGCCTGGACATGTACTGGCTTAAGCAGGGGGACACGTCTGGCACTGCAGGATTTGAGTCCCTGGCGGCGTAGTGTGTTACTGATGGTAGGCTTTGTTACTTTGGTCCCAGCTCTCTGCAGGTCATTCACTTGGTCCCCCCGTGTGGTTCTGGGATTTTTGCTCACCGTTCTTGTGATCATTTTGACCCCACGGGTGAGATCTTGCGTGGAGCCCCAGATCGAGGGAGATTATCAGTGGTCTTGTATGTCTTCCTTTTCCTAATAATTGCTCCCACAGTTGATTTCTTCAAACCAAGCTGCTTACCTATTGCAGATTCAGTCTTCCCAGCCTGGTGCAGGTCTACAATTTTGTTTCTGGTGTCCTTTGACAGCTCTTTGGTCTTGGCCATAGTGGTGTTTGGAGTGTGACTGAGGTTGTGGACAGGTGTCTTTTATACTGATAACAAGTTCAAACAGGTGCCATTAATACAGGTAATCTACATATTTCCGCATAGGTTAACAGCATGAGAGCGGTGATTGGATAGATTCGGAGAGCCTCAGCCATGCTCCTGCCTTCAAAAGACAGGAGAAAAGCAGGCGTGTGCCGTGAACGTTCTGCCACGTTCACGTGCTAGTCTGAACTCTGAAATTTCCCTTGCTAATGCCGCGTTCAAAACAACTAGCAACTCGGAAATCTGACTTGGGTGCATTCAAGACAACTGGGAACACCAGAAAAAATTAACTATCTACGACTGGGAAAATCGGTTTGAACGGTCATCCAACTCAGAATTCCAACTCGGGAATTCTGGCCTCTTACTGGAGCTCCGACTTTCTGACCTTAAGGTCACTGATGTCATGACTGGAACTTGTTTTTTCGAGTTCCCAGTTGTCTTTAATAAAATAACAGTATATATACAGGGGGTACCGGTACAGAGTCAGTGTGCGGGGGCACCGGTTAGTTGAGGTAATTTGTACATGTGGGTAGAGTTAAAGTGACTATGCATAGATAATATACAGAGTAGCAGCAGCGTAAAAAAAGGGGGGGGGGGGGGGGGCAGTGCAAATAGTCAGGGTAGACATGATTAGCTGTTCAGGAGTCTTATGGCTTGGGGGTAGAAGCTGTTAAGAAGCCTTTTGGACCTAGACTTGGTGCTCCGTTACCGGTTGCCGTGCGGTAGCAGAGAGAACAGTCTATGACTAGGGTGGCTGGAGTCTTTCACAATTTATAGGACCTTCCTCTTACACCGCCTTGTATAGAGGTCCTGGATGGCAGGAAGCTTGGCCCCAGTGATGTACTGGGCCGTACGCACTACCCTCTGTAGTGCCTTGCGGTCGCAGGCCGAGCAGTTGCCATACCTCCTCCCTATAGGCTGTCTCACCGTTGTCGGTGATCAGGCCTACCACGGTTGTGTCGTCGGCAAACCTAATGATGGTGTTGGAGTCGTGCCTAGCCACGCAGTCATAGGTGAACAGAGAGTACAAGAGGGGACTGAGCACGCACCCCTGAGGGGCCCCGGTGTTGAGGATCAGAGTGGCAGATGTGTTGTTACCTACCCTTACCACCTGGGGCGACCCGTCAGGAAGTCCAGGATCCAGTTGCAGAGGGAGGTGTTTAGTCCCAGGGTCCTTAGCTTAGTGATGAGCTTGAGGCCACTATGGTGTTGAACGCTGAGCTGTAGTCAGTAAATAGCATTCTCACGTAGGTGTTCCTCTTGTCCAGGTGGGAA